CTATTGGACATCAGAATTACAACTAATTTGAAGAATAATGATTAAATGGTCGTATTTGAAACAAACACTGAGATGTTGGGTCGTTTAAGCAGTTGTGAATTGTATGAGTCAGCATTTAATACTTTAAATTCTTGTGATATATACCACTTCTGTGGGAGGAAATATCTATGCATCAGTAAATAAGAATTAGATCATAGCAATTAGTTCTGAGGTTAGTCACATTTCAGTTTGTAGATTTTTAAGAAAAGAAATGACACTCTAGGAATATTTAGGTTCTGTTTTACAAGATAAAAACCAGCAGATGGTAAAAGGGAAACATATCCAGATGGAAAGTGAAAATTATTAAAAATCAAAATATGTTGGGGATGTTGGGAGAAAAGAGAATATAAAATAGAACAATTGAAAACAGTGGTGATACTGAAAATGATGGTACTTCTCAGTGGCAGTGGCGGGAACCGTGGAAGATACGGAAGCGGTTCCCCCACCCGAGAAGTGGCTAAAATGCTTCCACGGTTCCCGCCGCTGCTGCCACTGTTATTGGAGATGGTGCTGGCGAGAGAGGGACAGCTGCAGCTCGGCCTGAGCGCTTGGAATGCAGGAACGGGCTGCGCACCAGGACTTTTGCAAACTTGCAGATCCCAAGGCTGGAGCACCAAGGGTAGCAGCAGCAGAGACTCTCGCTCGGCTCTTCTCACGCCCACCCAGCTGCTCGGGATTAAACCAAAACGCAATACCAGTGCTCCTAGGTACCTCAAAATGGTTTTTTTTCCTGTTGTTATGGGGATGGGGGAAAAGCTGAAGTGACTCAGATGCTGTTGTTGGAGATGGCGCTGGTGAGAGAAGCGCCAGCACCTGTGGGAACCGTGGAAGCTACGGAGGCCTGAGAAGCGGCTGAAATGCTGCCGGACATCCACGCCGACACCAGCCACCTGCTGACCCGGGTAAGGGAGGGGTAAGGGAGCTCTCCATGCTCCACCATGGAGTTAGGAGCGGCTGATGGTGAGGCATAGCTGCCCACGGGACACTCCTAATGGCAAGTTCCCCCTCCCGCCTTCCCCCCCAATTTCGCATGTTTTAAACTAGGCCTAAATTTGGGGGAGGGGCTTAATTTCATTTTATGCCTAGAAAACATGCTGTGTCTTCCTATGGAGGGGTGTATTGTTGGAGACACATGGTACTTTTTCCCAGCAGAATTAATTTTCTTCAGGGAAAAAGGCGGCATATTTTGTGTCTGTGAGGCACCTGCTTCATCTCATCCTTGTTTTTCTTTAATTCTTTTGTAGTACTTTCAAAAACTTTAAAGTAGTTTATGCAAACACTAAAGAAAGAGAAGAAACAAAGCAACATGGAAATGTAATTTACTTTTGGAAGAGAAGTGGTTACCTTGGTTCATGAAACACCTTTAAGGAAGTAATGGGTTTGAATGGTTGGCTAATGCAAAGCAGCCCTCAAAACTTTAAAATCCATTTAACTAGAATAAATATTATATCATTTTCTGGCCAATTTCTATTGGAAATACAAATTCTTGAACACTAAATATTGCCTTAATCAAACTTCCTTCCATAAATTCTATAGAACTTACTTCCAGATACACATACATCTGCAAAGAGGCAAAATATTTCTTTTGCAACCTATCTTTAATCATTACCTATGGGATTGATCTGTATTTTATGTTTGTCTTGTCCTGAAGGAAATGCTCTCTAGGAGCATTTTATACAAGACAAAAGATTTAGGGTTTGGTTGCAGCAATAACTATGTTCAACATTACAATAGGTACTAATATCTGAATGGCATCAGTAGCAGAAAGACATCACTGGACATCACCCAGATTCAATTACCTGACAGCATTCTTAGGAAGTAACAGAAAACTAGATAGACATCATTTATGTTTTCATTCAAAAAAAAGTGAGAGGTTTTGATTTCATAATTTACTCCCTTTGATCTATACCCAAAAACCTTTATATCAATATAATGAAAATTAATTCCTCAGTTTTACATCTCAAACACTTCTTGCTAATTACAGCAATTATTTAGTAATCTTGTAATTAAATATGAGTTATTTCTTGTTTTTATGGATATTTCACATAATTGTTCCTTATTTTCAAAAATGACAGGTATATTTACCTAAGCACCTGCAAAATGCAAGATAAGTAATTTTGTGTGTGTGTGTGTATGAGTTCCTGGTTCTGCTCAATTAAGCTTTAGCTCCCTTGATTTCACTGCAATTTAAGGAGCATAGCTTTATGCTAAATTGCAGCTTAATCAACACAGAGATTCTTTAGCATATAAACAAAAAAATGGATTTCAATTTTTTTGCTTCCTTCAATATCTAGGAGATTGAAATTCCATTTTCTTACCAAAGAACGAATTTGAATGTTTTTAAGTGATTTTGGCCTAATCATTTTCTCTTAGCCCTAGGAAGAAGGTGATAGAAAAACCACTTCTGAAAAACCTTGCCAAGAAAACTTCAGAACTTGTCAAAATGGTCTTCAAAAATTGGACATGACTGATAAGAAAAAAATATCATAAAAGAATAAAGCAAATATTAATATCCCATCACAATTATGCATTTCCCATGATTTTATCATCCCATTTAATTCTAAAATAATGGTGAAATTACCTTGCTTCCTTCTAAATATAACTCTTATGGCCTGATCTGAATATGATTCCTTAAAAGAGGAACAATGATTAGGCACTTACAGAATTAACTATTTGGGCCGAAAGATAAAAGTTGAGCCAGAATCAGACCTCTCTAGTCTTTTCCCTCCTGAACTGTTGAGAAAGGTGTTGGTACTGAGTAAATATCACATAATGCAGAGACACAGAATTTCCTCTTTATTAGAGAAACCACACTGGGAATGGATGGTCTACTTAAGGGTAGTACAGCATGCTGAATAACCTTGCAATTAGATCAAGCTTAATGAACATTTGCTGAGTTAATTCTGTTAACTTAATACATGTGTATCTCTTTGCAGTCAAATCAGGCTGCATGAGCCTCAGCTCAGCTGAGTAAGGGTAAGGTAGATACAGCTCTCATCTGGAACTAATGTCTGATACTTGTCAGTCTGTGCAACAACTAGTTATCCTTGAGTACTGATGACCTTGGTATAAGATTTGTTGCTTTGTTACCTGGGTTGTGAGCAGGGGTGGGATTCCAATTTTTTAACAACTGGTTCTGT